GCCATTTTCGGTTGTGGAAATATTGGTAACATATTATTAATTATCATTCTGTCAACTAACCACCTATATCCCTTGAATCGAACTTCAATTTATATATTATTATCATCAATAGCCGATTTTATCCATTTAAACACAACATTAAGTACACATATTCTGGCGACGAGTTTAAATTTTGATCTAACAACTCGACATATTTTGATTTGTAAAGTGAGACAATATGTTGCTGCTGTATGCGCAATCTCATCATTTAGTTTCATTATACTAGCGGCAATTGAAAGGTTTAATTTAACACTAAAATCTCCTTATTTGATTAACACTATATATCTTGTCGAAGGCACCGTAATATGGTGGTTAGTGTATATGATACCTTCATTATTCTATTCTGAGATTCAAAAGATCAATAATAAGTCTCAATGTCGACCATATTCTGGTTTATACTCAAAATACGTGGCATCGTTTGGATTTATACTCTGTATTGTGATACCTCTACTATTATGCATATTTGGATGTTTGACAATTAGAAATTTGAAATTATTTCAAAGTGACACACATTTTTCGCATATACATAAACGAATAGACAAAACAAACCATGATTTAACAAATATGCTTTGGATACAGATATTATTCGTCATGCTAGGAACTATACCGTTTGCGCTTCAACATACTTACATTACATTCACTACAAAAACGTTTAAAACTACGAGACGTATGGCATATGAGGAATTTCTATGGAATATGATTCGTTTGATAACAACGGCTTACTCATGTGCAGATTTTTATGTTTATCTATTTTTATCGACGGTGTTTCGGCGACATTCTTTCAAATTAGCCAAACATTTACCAGGCATACGACAATATCTGCAAAACAGATATAAACAACGACACAGGAATATTTATGCTTAACGCTTCCTTTTTTTTGTTTGTTTAGCTCGTTTATTTTCCTTCGTAACGCAGAAGTAAAGATAATGTTAACTACAATACTCTTCCGAAGTCTTCCTCTGTAACTCGATAAGCATACACCCTAGTGAAACTTTGTACACTTATAGAGGACACAAATATAGATCATCTGGGAAATTTCAGGTTACGTGACTAGATGGTATAGAGATATTATAATACTTTACTATTTTACCAGTAAAGTAGAAATAATTTTCAGATGAAGTGAATTAAACGGCTCAACTAAACCAACCATATATTTTGTTTACAAAATATGTGCACTTACAAGTAACTATTACTGTGTCTTCTATACACTGTGAATTTGAACCTACCATAAGCGTTATGGTAAGGTTGTCGTGTACTTTTCGTTGTTTTCTGGAGTATGAATTGCAGAAGACTGACCGTCTATGTACGCGGGAGAATAAAATATATGGTTCATAACTGAATCGTATTACGATGTCAATGGTGCGGTTCTATGAACCTCGGACAGTTGTACTAACGTTAAGAGTCTAAAATGGCAACTAAAGCATACCGCCGGTTTTCAGAAATCTCTTCGTTTTGGTTCGCTCTGATAGGGCCAAGTAGACAATTAGAAGGTGCATATGCCTGGATAGTTTCTAGAATTTGCTGCTGTAGGGTTGTTGAGAAAACCAGACAGTTTGATTGGTGGGTACCGATGTGATATCTATGCAACAAAAATATTTTTTCTCAACAATCTTCCAACTTTCTGAAAAACGATTTTCACCATTGAATAGAGCAGATCATTGGGCATCTATATATGTACTTGTAGTATGATATAAATCTAAGAAGAAAGTAAACGGTTCAACAAAGTTAAAAAAAACTCAATTTTTTAAAAACTACATGGTCAGTAAAAATGTTATATCTCCATCAACTGACTTTCAAACAAGATCCCACTTGCACAAAAACATTCTCATATTGTCTGCTATAAAACCTGAAACTAGCGTGGCAAAAAAAATTGTCCGTGAGGAGTTCTGAATTTTTTATTGTCAAAATTAGAGTAGACTTTTAAGTAACTTTAACGACAAACACTAATCCAACTGTAGAGCTACAAAGTATACTGTTTAAACATTTTTCTATTCCAGAAAAAAACATTTTTGTATCATTTTCTTCGAAATTATTCTGTTGTAAATAAGTGGAGGAAACGTGCATTTTAAACGTTAACCCGGAAAAGGTTCGTTGTTCAAAGGAGAAAAATACGTAAGGGAAGAATGCACAAAAGATACTCAAAATTTAAACTTACCCTATGATTTTGTAAAAATGAACGTCTCTTCCACTTACTTACAACAGAATAATTTCGAAAACATCGTTACAAAAATGTTTTTTCCTTAAATGGAAAAAAGTTCAAACAATATAGTTTTCTTTAGTTCAGTCTGGGAACAAGTTTTGATTTTTTTAATTGCTAGATCCACCTTATATCAACTTTGGTGTTTGAAAAAACCGTAAACAAATTCGATTGTCTATAACACTTCTGAACCATCATGAAATAGTGCTTACTCTTTGTTATCGACCTGATCATGATAGTGTCGTTGAGTGGATTTTCTTGATAAAAAACTGAATAAGTATAGGTTAATAGGAAGTTCATTTGATAGTTATCTGCTTGTCAGAGATTTCAATTCACACCAATATAACTGATGTTCAACAGGAGCAATGACACAAGAATGATGAAACAAAGGTCGACAGGCAATGGACTACATCAGCTCGTGTCAAAAATCAATCATCTAAGTACTTTTACATGCCCTGATCTTGTATTCACAAATAATTTGAATCTGGTCGAGTTTGTAAAAGTTCACGGTAAATTGGCGTCAAATTGTGATCATTCAAGTGTTTAAACACCGTCTCTCATCGTTTATTTCTTAAATTAATGCTGTACCTTTCTTTCCTTTCACCACCGTTCATAACCTTACTCATACCGTTTGTTTTCATTGAGACACAAAAGAGAAAATGATTAAAACAGAGACATTTATGTCGAATAATAAAAAACTAAGAGAAGGTACAACCACGTCTAAACAATAAAACAAAGAGTTCTTTTATTTCTGTTGTTTACATTTTATCATTTTTACTGCCCGCCGCGTAAGCGGAGAACCAAATGCAATGTTGACTCTTTCTGAATGTTGTAGTCCGACAATGTACGACCATCTTCCAGTTGTTTGCCAGCAAAAATCAGACGCTGTTGATCGGGTGGAATTCCCTCTTTATCTTGTATTTTAGCCTTCACATTTTCGATCGTGTCACTGGGTTCTACTTCCAAAGTGATTGTTTTACCTGTCAACGTTTTCACGAAGATCTGCATGCCTCCACGTAAGCGGAGAACCAAATGCAATGTCGACTCTTTCTGAATATTGTAGTCGGATAACTAGAAGCAGAAACGGTAGGTTTACAGGTGAAGTTCAAGGAAGAATCACGCCTGATGTTCGAACCAAGAAGGTTCATGCATTTTAACCGATTATACCTTGAAAAGCCCTACAAAAACTAGATGTTTTCCAAAAAATCTACCTGCTACACAAAACTCTTTACGTTCTTAGCCACCTCGAGTCCATGCCACTAATCAAACAAACAAGTATCGCTGTTGAGGTGAAGAAATTTGTGATTCTTACTAACTACTAGCCTGTTATCGTATTACTCAACATATTTGTCAATACTTAGTTAGAATTTTTCTTGAAAATGCAATCGCGGTTTCCCACATTTAACGGCCTGGCTCCGACATATCATCAAATTTTTGCAATTCAGCTTTCTTTTTGCTGATGAACAGCGTTATAAAGCATTAGAGGTATAAGCTAGAATTTGGTATGCTTAGTTCCTTTTCATGGTTTCCGCTTCGTACACTGTGCTTAAGTTTGAGTGTACATGGTTCTAGATGTGTCCAGCATTTGTTCGCTACCGGTACTACTTGACATCTGCGTTCTGTCACTATACCACAAGATCTTCACCATTTTCGAACATCCTTAAAGTATTTCCCTTGAGGCTCAACAAATGCACACTTACTGTACGACCATCTTCCAATTGTTTACCAGCAAAAATCAGACGCTGTTGATCGGGTGGAATTCCCTCTTTATCTTGTATTTTAGCCTTCACATTTTCAATTGTGTCACTGGGTTCTACTTCCAATGTAATAGTTTTGCCCGTTAGTGTTTTGACAAATATTTGCATAGCTATAAGAATGGTTTCCGTTTAAAACTTATCCTGGACCTTTAACGAAGAACTTACTTGCTGTGTAATAAATCTTGTGTATACGTGTAAATGTAGAAGCGTTTTGTGCAGAGAGAGGAAAAGGCGAACGTATAAAGCGTACAGTCTCGAAAATGAAGTTAAACTGTGTACGAGAATTGTTTTTATACCGGAAAAAATATTACTTTCTGTCTATTTCACACTCTTCCATGTGTAAGACGAGATTTTTCTTGTGCGTAATTATTATTCATCCAAACTTCAGGTGACTAACACAAAGAAAAGAAACAAGAAAAGAAACGTTCTTCGCTGCATTTCTAGGAAAGAAATAAAAAAACAAGATATAGAGCAGTATGCCCTAATTCTGGCAGGAGAAATTTCAAGTTCACTAATTTTCGTTTTTCGGTGGCATTTCTTTAAGATTAAAGAAAAATTTTTATATAGCGGTGTAGCTGAGATTCTGCTCTATCGAACTATGTAAAAATATCTGAGATCTCTATTGCCACTATTCATTAATCAGAGTAAAAATAAACTATA